CTACATCCTTTCTAATTCCTCCTTCAGGCCCTGGTACTTCTCCAGCTTCTCATACTCCTTCTTCCTGATGTTGCTGTCATTTGGCACATCTATGACCACCGCTGTCTTCTGGTCCTTGTCTACTACTAGGGTGTCTGATTGGCTGGCCAGTACCTGCCCGTCTGTCTGGATCTGAAAGTCCCACAGGACCTTCTGTGGAATCTCCTATCTGTATTTGGGAGGGTGCGCATGTTCCTGTACACAGTGCCAGTTACTTGGTTGTGCTGCTCAATGTATGCTGAATAGGGCATTTATCTTCTTGGCCTCTGCTTCTCTAGTGTATCTCCTTAGCCTGGCAGCCAGTGCTGTGAGCCTTTGTTTAGCAGTCTCTGGGGTTTCAGATAGTCAGGTCCTTCTATTTTTTCAGTAGCTGAGTCGTATCCTTAATCTCCACACCCTTCTGTAGTTCCACCAGCTGACTAACTTCTGAGTTGCCTTGATCTTAGCGTCCAATCTTGTTTTCCACGGGGGCAGGGGGGGAGTACTGTTCTTCTTGATCTGGTAGCCAAGCATCTCCAGGATTACAACGGTTGTAGCGTATACCAGTTCATTGGTTTGAGTTATGGTGGTAGTAGGGATTGTCATGAAGACTCTATTGGCATCTTCTAGCACGCTATCTGGTGGTACTTCTCCACTGAACCTTGATCATTGGTCTTGAGGGTTGACTGTAGCCAGTTTATCCATGATCTTATGACTCATATCAGCTGCTGTGCTCTGTATGGAATGGGTGGCAGTGATGTTCCAGCTTCAGGTGTTGGCTGCACATTCAGTTGTTCTTCCAGGTCTTCTTGAGTCTTGAATGTAATGTAGATAGAGTCTATCTCAAGTTGCAAGCAGCTTCCTCTTCACTATGCTGAAGGGTTGGGTAACTAGCTGTTTCTCAGTTAGTGTAGATGTAGATCTTCTGTCCATCCATAGTTCCCTCATATGTTTTATATATCCCCTCTCATTATGTCTACTGTTGTAGTAGCATCCCATCAATTCCAGGTTCTTGTCTCGTCCATGTATGGTTTTTTCCAGTAGCCCACATCATCAGATTGTCCTGGTTCCCCAATATCTGGCACGGACCTTGTTAATCCGGGCAACATCTGAGTTGGCATGACTCTCAAACTAAGAGTATCACTCTCATATTCGAGGTAGGCAGGTGAAGTGTTAGGGGGTCTTTGCCCAAGAGCCCCTACTGGTAAGGTAGGTATATATTTGTGTGTTTGTGTGTGTTGCTCCTTCACTATCAGACAAGCGATGATAAAAATATTTATTTATAATATTTGTAGACTATTCTAGTTGTAAGAGTAGTGTACACTTTGGGTTGCATGCAGTTCTGTCTATCCAGTAATAAAATAATGTCTCGTTGGAATTCTTTCTCTTAACTGCTAGATTTGCTTGGGGGAAGGTGGGGGAGGATGATACAGAGCAAACTGATGGATATAACAAATAGACAAAATAAGGACTCCCATTGCAAAGTATAACACTGAATGTAATATTTTAAATTTAGGATTTATATGAATGTACAGCTGAGACATGGATAGAAATGCAGACAGGTAATCAAGTCATTCCTTGCTGCAATTTAATTTGTCCACTCAATCATATAAAAACTTCTGAAATAGCTAGAAAGGGAAAATTATTCACAAAGTAATACTTAAGAAGAAAGCCAGCATAATTGTCCAAGAAAGAAAGAGAAAAATACAGATATTTTAATGCAGACCTGAAACATTAAGAGGCTTCAGTGTAAAGTGAATGAGCTGCATGGACCTTGGATTTATTTACACCTTTCCTTTTTCTTCCTCCAGCATGGTCACAGGGAAATCAGAAGTTTCCTCCTTCATTTTACATTAATTACAGCTTATGTTTTTCAAACTGTGTTTATTAGCTGTACATGTTGTATTGAAAAAAAAATCTAGTTTTATAAGTTATGGTTCAAATATACTTTATTTCTACAAGATATAGTTGATATTAAAGGTAGGAAAAGGGCAACGGCCAACCACTTCTGAAATCTTGCCAAGAAAACTGCAGGGACTTGTCCAGGCAGTCACCAGGAGTCAAAAACTGACTCAAAGGCACCAAAGAAAAAAAAGGATATTAATGGCAGCATGTCAAAATGACTGTCCTTGAAAAAAATTGTAGATAAATTAAAACAGAATCAATGTAACCCCTTGCCACCATGCTAAAGAAAGAAACAGGTGAGTGCTAAGTCACAAGCATTATCCTAAACTTTAAAATTAAACCAACCATATTAAAACCATCAATAAACATAACTGTATTTCCTTCTTACTCTATACCAGTAACACTTTGTCCCACCACACCTTTTTATCATACCAACATCCTGCAAGTATCCTGACACCAAAAAATTCAGCCAACCAGATTGCAATGAGTGTGCACAAATATTATACCAATCTTACCTGTCAACAAATAGGACAGGGAGAGAGATATAATATTGCCATTTGATTTATATTAATCATCTTTCACATTTTACTATGTAGTAACAACTTGCTTGATTCTTGTGTAGATTTACACTGTCTCACTTACTGAATCTTAACTGCTGCTGATTAACAAACAGTATTTTTGTTCACTCTTCTGTATAAAAACAAATTATTGTAATAATCAGTCCATAGCTGGATCTGTCCATCATGCTAAATTCAGGTTTTCTTAATTATTGTTGAATAAATTACAATTTATTGTGCCATAAACCATGGTTTACAAATAACCATAGCTCAGTTCAAACAACATATTAAGCAAAAACAAATGTGCCCATATATCTTATGTTTTTCCAATCAGGAAAAATGGAAATATTGGCTTTGTTCAAAGTAAGTTTGCTTATAATGGAAATTAAGTTTTCTTTAGTTGCATTTGATTTACATATCTGACTGACTGACATAAATGAACAGCAACCTCTGCTGGTGAACTAAGCACTGCAATGAGTTGCTTTAACTTTTCCAACTCTTTATGCTTAGAATCATTTCACATATTATGGAAATCCAGGTTAATAGCAGGTATTGAGAATACTACTGGATTCATATTTCCATATGAATCATATATTTTATTTTAGAGGTAGACAAGTCCAAATTTGTCCTAATAACTATAGCTGATAAGAAAGTATGTTACTATACATAAGATACTGAATAATGAGTAGGGCTGTGCAAAGAACAGAACAGGTATTTTGAAATGGACAGATACACGAATGAGGTACAGCTACTATTGAAAATTCTGATAAGTGAAGTCCACACATATAGAGAATACCTAGGCTGAAGAAGATCATTGTGGCTGCTTTTGCACATTAAACCATTATTAACTGCATTAAGATTTATAGAATTAATTGCTTGGCTCCATCAGCAAACTGAGCTATGGGCTGAATCGGACAAAGTATTCTTAGACTGAATACTCCAAGATGAAGTTGCTTTTTATCAATAAACATTCAGGAGCTTTGGCCCCAGGAAGTTATTCTGAATGGGGTGGAATTCTTCCTGAAAGAGTTGGTTCACAATCTGGGAATCCTCCTAGACTTGCAGCTATTGCTTAAGTAGCAGGTGAAAGGCCTTGTCCAGCTTTGGCTGTTAATGCCAGTTATGAGCTACCTGGATTAAGATGCCTTGATGACAGTAACTCATGCTTTGATCACCACTCAGTTGATTACTGTAATGCATTCAACATGGGACAGCATTTGGACACAACCCAGAAGCTGCAGCTGGTCCAAAATGTGGTACCTAATTTATTTGCAGGATAATCCCATCATAGCAGCATTGATAGCATTAGGAAAGTCGCTGCTCTGGTTATCTTTCGGCTTCCAGGACCAAATTAAAGTGCTGGTGACTTGGTACTTTGGTGAGTTGGTACTAGGTTGTGGAAAGGTGACTGGGTACCTTTCCTCAACCTAGTAACTACGGGATGCGTTGGGGCTTTCACTTCCAAGATTCTCAGCCAACACGCCTATGAGGCGGCAACCTGGCCGGGAATCTCTCAAACCAAAGACGGTCGCCCTTGCCATGAACTCCCATTGCAACAAGCAAACCAGGTTCCTCCAGCCTTAGTTCGATGGCGCTGTAGACCGAAAGACAATAGATGCCAAGACTTGGAAGCGTTTTAGGAGCTGCAGATCTGCGTTGCTTCTCCGCCTTTCTTTGAGAAGCTCCCGGGCCGAGGCCCCCTCTATTCCACCCTCTTTTCTTCAGCAAGACGTGCCACCCTTCCCCCAGGTCACCCTCGCCTTCCGCTTTCGATTTTCCTACGTGACTCAGCACCGCCACCAACACCCGTTCCCCAGACAACTGCTGGTGACGTAATAGAAGGCGCGTGGCTCCCTCGCGGACCCCGTATGCGCAGCCAGGAGCAAGTGGTCGTTCCTCGCCCCCCCAGCACCTCCCCCCGTTCGAACCGCGAACTCCAGCGGAACTTCGCCGAGGCCACGGCCAGCGTTTCCCTCGCCCCTTCCTTCGCCGGCTAACTTACCCCGGTGCCGATGGAACTCATGACGGGTGAAATCTCAAAACGAACAACCCTGCCACTTCCTCTCTCTTTTTCTCCCCCCTTCAGACGGTCACCGACTCGCGCGTCTCAGTCGCTCCAACAACGCGCACATCCATTGGTCGCCGCCTCCAAGCGCCTTGACTAATGATTTCTTCCGGTAGGCTGCGGACTGGAGGAGGTGGAGTCAACCCCACGATGTATCGGGTGCGCGCTCACAAAGGATCACCGAGTCACTGTAGGCGTCTCAGGTGCACGCGCTTCATTGAAAGAAATAGAGTGATATTCATTATAGGAAGGCAATGTTGCAAGGCCCGGCTAGCTCAGTCGGTAGAGCATGGGACTCTTAATCCCAGGGTCGTGGGTTCGAGCCCCACGTTGGGCGGCTGTTCTTTTCTTCATTTTTTTCCCCTTAATTCTTTCAGAATATAATTCAGAGAACAAACCCAATCGTATACGAAAGAATCAAAAGTTGCAGCAATTCAAGGAATTTGACCAAACTCACTGGGGTTTCTGAGTAAATGTGCATAACGTTGGAGTCGAAACCTGTTTCTACAGTGATTATTATTTAGACGTGAAGAAATATAGATGTATAAAGCTGTCAAGGGACAGAAAAGGAAGAGAGCTTCCAAATTTAGTTCATTTAAATACATAAAAGCAAAAGAAACTGTAGAGTTCTGTAAGGAAAAAAATAACGTGCAGTTATTTCCTTTCCATTTCCTCCTGTTTTATTTTCTGTGTTATTTAATTTTATTATCAAGATAAAAGGATAAAATGAGCAAATTTTTTTGTTCTTCAGAACAAGTAGTCAGACCTTTGTTCTCCCCAAAATACCTATTTTCCTTAACACCCAGCCTGATTTTTTTTCAGAACTCCTAAGTATAGTTTCTTACAAAAAGAAATGGAAAAAAAAAGTTTGTTGTTAGATAGAGCATCTGCACATTATAGCTGGTATCATCAGCTATCCCTACTACTCTTACATCCTGGAGAGAAGTGTAATATCAATTCTTATTCTTATTATGGTAGTCCAATTCACTCTTCATAAAGCATCTGAAGGCTGGGCGACACATGGCACTAACCCATAATGTGACTTGCTTCACTTTAGCTACTATGTTGTATGTCATTACAGTTTGTTGACCACATTTTGTCAGTGTGTTGTACAAAGACAGACAATTGGGATTTGCTCGACAAAACATGGAAAAACAAAAACAGCTTGACAGTGTGTGAATGCCGCTAAAATGTATCCTAGGTGCTGTTGAAAAACGTGGAACTTTACTGGTTTTATCCCAAGGAAAAGGATAAGCAAATAATCTTATATTCAGAGTATTCCCAAAAAGAAAGCACCAACAATCCAGACAAATGCACCATGTGCCTGCAGTTTCATTTTTTTTTTCCAAATAAGAAAAAAAGAGGTGGGGAAATATTTGAATTGGATGGAAGATTTCAAGTGGGTGGTGTCATTTTACTCCGATCCTGTATTAAAAGTCTGTGAACGAGGCAGGTAACAGTTTAATCTAAAAGCATAGACTGGAGATACACCACTGTCATAGCAATGCTCTTTGCCACGTATGTTTTTCTCTTCTCTTACTTACCTGTGATTCCTGTCTCTTACATCTGTACATGCCAGAGTAGAAATGAATGTCTGGTTAGGAATCTAGGCAGAGAAGAACTTGCAATGTACTCAGATTGCATGATACAAAGTCAAGATGTTAAAAATACAAAAAAAGAACTATGATGGTTCAGACCAGAGGCCATGGGCATCCACAGGAGAGCAAAGCTAAAACATACATTGCGACGTTGCAAGCTCCGTCCCTTTTGTACTTGTGTCCAATATCACACGAGTAAATCATGGATGGAGCTTGCGTCACGATGTCACAATCCATGTTTAGTCGTTTTCACAAAATCTCAGCTTGCTGCGGACACCACTCGCCAAAAGCCTATCTAGCCTAGCATTCTGTTCTCACAGAGGCCAACCAGATGCCAGAAATTAGAGCAATAACAGTATTAAGACTTAGCGGATAGTGGAGCCTGCATGCTTCATTCTGGCATCATCTTTGCTAGCTATGGATACTTCTGACAGGCAGTTGCTTAGATATTAATAAGTGCTTAATACAACTCTTTTTTTTTTTTTTAAAGGTATCTTGAGATTATTTTTAATAGTTGCTTAAATGAACTGAATCTTCTCCATGTCCATCTACCTAGAATGGATGAAACACTGTAAAGCAGGATGATGAATCAGAAAAAAATTAATAGCATGACACTTACAGTGAAGACTTTTCTCTAAACCTTTTCCTTTTCCTATACCTACTAGCAGGTGCTTCTGCAGATCCAGAAAAAAGGAGGAAAAAGGAAGACAGCTGAGACAGTTTTTGCTGCACACTGCACGCTGAGGTTTTTTTCATAAAAAGGAAATACATTTGCTTTATTTAATTCTGTTAGTATAATAGAATTCAAAAGTGTGAACTTAAACAATATAAACTATACCATGCCAGCTCTGTAAACCACTTTCTAAAATTAATTATCTTAATTCAGAGGCATACAATTCGGTAAGGCTCACATGTCTTGACTTGGCTGAAGACAATTAGGCAAATAACAGAAGGCAGAGTATAATTGATCCGCTGCCTGATTCTCCCCCAACGCATCATAAAAATAACAAATTGATTTTTTAGGGAAAATTGTGGCAGCTGGGAAACATCATGGCAAAGCTAGTTTTGGATAGATACCTGACATTTAGAAAATGTTCCATAGTTGGTTGGTTCTTAAGTGACCAAACAATTTTAAACATTACAAACTGAATGTTTTTATAGCCAAAGTAGAGTGCATGGAACACGTGTGTTCAGTGGACTCAGATCTATCCTTTAAAAAGGCCATTTGTTTTTGGTCAGTGTATGTAAAGTAATATTGAAAATGGATATCAATACCTCCAAAAGTATGTATGTGTGTGTGTTTGTGTGTATAATTCATTTATACCAGAATGGGTAATTGTTTGGTGGAAATGCACTTATTTGTGACCTTAATGGCAATGGTAGGGCCATGATGCAAAGTGTAAGGAACGGGGTTATTTTTTTACCTTGTTTTTAGGGATAGGTTGGAAGGAGTTTTTTTTTAAATTACATTAACCTTTTATAGGGCTTATACTGTAGTTTCCTTGTGTTTTCTCCTTCAAGTTACTGAGAAATTTCACTATAGCTTTCAGTAACAGTGGATAAAGATGGCTCTGGAGGGCAAAACGAAGGGGCCCTGAGGCCACAAACTGCCCTCAGTAAAGGCACTCTGAAATGAAGCTTGACTCTTGGCCAGTAGTATCTGCAGGGAGGGAGTAAAAAAAATCAGTCAAGATGGCAGTTGCAACCATGTAATTGAAGCTGCACCCGTTTGTAAGGTGTCTGATGATGTGCGTACAAAAGCACTATGGTTTCAGTCATGGAGTTGTAACTGGCATCTTGACTTTTTTGACCCCACCCGCCCCCAGTAGATGCTTCTGCTCCTGGTGACCACAAGGGTACAATCATGTCATTTTCTTGGCAAGAGTAATGAACTGGTTTGCTATTCTGTTTTTAAGATTTTTTTGATATCCCAGTTGAGCCTATAGACCAGCTACTCCATGGTAAATTTCCATCCAAGTAGTAACCAGGTCTGACCTGCTTATTTTATCTGTTTGATTTATATACAGCATTTCTTCCAGGATCTTGAGGGGTGTTCATAGCATTCCTTCATCCAATTTTTCCCTACAACAACAATCTTATGAAATAGGTTGGGCTGAGAGAAAAGACTGGCCTGGAGTCATCTAGTGAGACTGACCTTGATGCTGGATTTCCCTGAACCTAGTCTAGCACCTTAACTACCATACCATGCTGGCTTGGCTTAGTTTCTGAGCCCAGACAAGGTTTTTCAGGTATTCCCACGTGGTCTAATTATTTCAAATATATAAATACATATTTTGTTAAGGCTGCTTCCAGCATATCTGCTATTTGCAGTTGGAGGAAAGGTGCATGAGAACAACTTATGCACAACAAATAAAAGAAGAAAAGGTACTAACCAAGAAGAAGGAGCACTAATAGAATAAGCATAATATGTACAGTTGATATAAGAAGAGTAAATATAGCAAATCATTGAATACAAGTACACAATAACAGACAGTTAAGAAATAGAGTTAGATCAAAAATTATTACAGATATTTCAGTCATCATCATTTCCCCCTATTTTGCCATTTCAGTAAAAGGTTTTAGGTATTAATATTTATTAATTGCCTTTCTGCCCCAAAGATAATATATATGAACATTGCAATTATCTAATAACAAACCAGAAATAGTATACAGCAGAACTATCCATGAAATGTGTCAGAAGATTTAATTTAAAATCCATTAAAAGCAAAACAGGACTGGGGACAATCAGATTATTCCAATGCTCTAAGTGTCTCATTACACTAAGACCAGAAATTTGGGTTCACATCCCTAAACAACAATGAACATGGGCCAATTAAAAGAACACAACAGTAGTCTACCTTGATTAGGCCAAAAGCCTACCTAGTTCAAGGTTTTGTGCCACATGTGGCCAAGTATTTGCATTTTTTTTTTTTAATCTGCGCTCAGTCGTTACCGACTCTGCAGTGACTGCTTG